TGGATGGATGGATGGATGGATGGATGGATGGATGGATGGATGGATGGATGGATGGATGGATGGATGGATCGGTCAATGGATGGATTACAATTAATAGATCTGATCGTTTACACATTTTTTCTTTGCCTTCTTCTTCGGCTTTTCACATTCTGTTTTCCATTTGTTGCTGTAAAATTGTCATTCTTTCTGCCAGCCTCAGTGTTGAAGTTTTGTTCTCTTCTTCCTTCTGATGTAAAGCCTCCTTAAGCGATGTAACTGTTGTTAAGAGGTGGGATCTTTCTTTCTCCCACTCCTGCCGTTCATGTTGCAGAGTTTTCTGCAACTTTGTCACAGCTGCTTTCAAAGTTGACTCTGTTTGTTGATGCTTTGATACAAGACAGGACATTTCTTGCTTCTGCTGATGACTTTGTTGTTCAACTCTATTGTCTGTTTCCTTCAAAGTAATTCTTAATTTGGAAACTTCTTCTGTTTGCTGAGTCAAGAAACCTTTGGGCCTTTGCTGCCTTACTTCTCTCAGCAGTAAGAGCTGCTTCTAGGTCGTAGCTTCTTTTCACAACAATCACCATTCTTGTTCAACAATTCTTGTTTTACACCAGCCAGGACTTTTATGTTGTCGGTTTTGAAAGATTCTAGCTGTTGTTTTAGAGTTAGTGCATCATTTTTAAGATTGCATTAGGATAATCTAAATACCAGTTGATTGGTTTTAAAACTAAATGTTCTGAAGTTTGTTTTGCTTTTCTTCACATTTTTGTAAGTTTGTCCATGACGGATGTGCTGAACATGAAATGTTACTCTGAAGGAGTGGAGGGGAAAAAAAAGAACAAAATAGGAAGAGCTGGATAAAAGTTCACCTAGCATAAAACAAAAATACAGCAGTGTGTGTATGTGTGTGTCAAGCAGGGGTTTTGGAGGAGATCATTCATAACTTGGACTACTGTGATGTCCTGGTGTTGGGAGAGGAGCTGATCCCAGAGCAAGAATCTCTCCAACTGCACACGATATTCCTGCAGGGTAAACACCTTGATGCCACCAACTCCACCTCGGGCATGTCCATATATGGTGAGTCATGAACAATAAAGCTAAAACTGAGGCATTTGTAGTCAGGTTTTATGAACACAACATTGACACTGCTGCACCAACTCTCCGCTCTTCTTGTCCACAGGCGTAGACTCCATGTCAAACTATGAACAGGTGATTAGACAGGTCCGGTACTACAACCTGCAGCCTGAACAGCTGACAGAGAGGAGGTTTCGCCTGACCTGCTCAGAGCTCAATGGACGATACACCAGCAATGAGTTCAACGTCGAGGTCGGTCATTAATCATCTTTATAAAATTGGATCTAAAGTACATTAAATATGCACCACTGGGCAATGTGTTAATAAATTTAAAAAGAAAATTAAGACATCATTAAAATCCAAAGAAGAATACAGGCAGTGTCCAACAAGAAAGGACAATTGGTTCGTCTCTGTCTCAGTTTGCTAAAATAGAGTTAAAGTCTTGCAAGACTGAGGAGCTAACAGCTAGCCTGAAAGTGGCCAAGACCAAGCTGCTTTCTGAAAACAATTTAAATCTCTAAAAATGCAAAGTGTTTCTTGTGAACTCTATATTTCATAGACCTTCTAAATACCTGTCCATTACCAATGAAATGATTGTGTACATATAATTCTGTGATAATTTTCAAGCATACAAAGCAGAGGCACAGCAACCTGCAGCACTTTAGGTATAGCATGGAGTCACTTTCATATTTCTGCAAAAATAACCATGCAATGTCAAACTGACATCAAAGGTTAGCATAAAGGCACTTTCACAAACCACCATAAAATTTACGAAATTTAGGAAGATCCAGCAGACCCAAAGCAGAGTTGGCTATTATAACAATCACAACTTTTTTCTTGCCTTTTTTTCTTTTTGACCATATGGAAATTTTGCTGGAAATGCCCTGAAAACATTTTGGGTCATGACCAATCAGTTAAGAATCCACAGTGTAAAGGCTTCAAAATATCGGTGTTTACATGAAAAACAAAAAAGGTTAAATCATGTCATCTGAACAAGTTTCTTTAAGTAAGAAACGTTTTGTGTCCCATCCGAAAGACTTCGTCAGTCTGTGGCCTGCCAACCAGAGCTGTCCCAAAAGTAGCCTTCACTGCTGTGTTTCAAGTCCAACGTCCTGTGGAATCTCAAAAGCAAGCTCTTAACACGTGCAAACAGGGCCCACCCATCCAAAACAACCAATCATCATGTATAACAATCAAATGTCTTAAGCCAGATAGCCATCTTGCAACACACAGAACAGACTGAGGACAGGTGGGCCCTGTTTGTATGGGTTAAAAGTAGAGCCCCCAGTAAACTCCCATGTACGTGTACCTCCGCAGAGCATGTCCACGTAAAGCTAAATTTTTACGACCGCGTACGCAGTGTCGCACAATAAACTGCCCGGCGACGGACTGTTTTACACCAATGTATTAAATTCCCCTTCTTTATCCCTGATCTGGCATTTTCTTTTGTTTTTTTGCCAAAAGGCAAGCGATCTCTGTCTCCTCCGTTGATGCCTTGACTGAAATGGTGAGAAAAGAAGAAATTTGTCATGAGCGAATTAAAATCTGGCCCAGCATGGCTCCAGGAGGGTCTGGAGATTTCCTGTTGGGCCGTTCTGATGTGTGGGCTGCAGGGCCAGCGCTCCCTGTTTTTTTCTTTTTTTTGTTTGTTTTTTTTAGAACTTTTTATTAACAGCATATAAACACAGAACACCAATGCGGCTGGAGCTGCCAGCTCTCGTTTTTTTTTTTTTTTTTTTTTTTCGACCTGTCAATCAATCCAGTAGGCATGTCAGCAAATGACCAATCGGCGAACTCAATTTGTCCCAAGGTAAACGCTCCTTGTCTGAGGAGCTGCTCTGCAGCCACTCAGGGTGGACGCTCGAGCATGAAGTCTGAACCCTCTGCTTACAGTATGCACAGTTTCCGCATGGCTGACAGGACGCGGGATTATACTGGAGCCTTAGGGGTGCGAAGCTAAAAAGGTAAATCGTTTCCTGGCTTGCAGTGATGATAAATGACTTGCTCCCTGGGCGCCTCCAAATGCCGCCCACTGCTCCACCTGGTAATGGATGGGTTAAATGCAGAGAGTCAATTTCGCCATTGTATGGGAACATGCAATGATGACAATACATACACATTATTATTATTATTATTATTAATATTATTATTATTATCTGATCACATTAAATAACTTCTTTTAACCAAAATTCAAAGGAAACTATTAAAATAGTCAAACTTTGTCTAAATTCATGCGCGTATAAAACTGAAATAATTCCTGCTCAAAGAGTCAATTTTGCCTTAGATAAGAGAATTAAGCCTTGATTGATTAATTTGTTTGTTTATTATTGTTGTTGATTCTTAGTTTGATTAATTTTGTAATAAAACTTCAAAGTCAACTTTGGTCTCTTTGTTCAGATGAATATTAATTTATTATGATATGGGACTCCTTGTAATTAATGGACTTTACTTCAGTGACTGATTCTGATCATTAAAGGGTGAATATATTAATTAAGTTGTTGTTGGTCAGTAAACTGACCAGCTGGTGACCCACTTTAACCAGAGCTAAATAAATAAAATAAATGTAGTGGAGTGGAGAAAGTGTCACCCTTCTACCTCCATTTCAACCTTCGTTATTGCTGCACTAATTTTAACCTGTAGAGAATAATCAGTGCTTTAGATCACATTCATACATTGATGGGACACACACCGAAGGCCATGAGGAGTTCAGTGTCTTGCCCAGGGGCACTTCAACATGTGGCTGCTGGTGGAATCGAACCACCAACCCTCCCATTGGAGAACAACCACTCCAACCATTCAGCCACAGCTGCCCCCAAAAATAGGACTATGTAAAGTTAAGGCATGTTATTTGAAGAGGTGTCTGCCACTTTGCAGCACATTCACACAATGTCCTGCAGCTTGAGCTTGTTTTCTGGTTAAGATGACTGTACCAACTCATGAATGTGAAGATCAGAACAGCTTCATTAAAATAAGACTAAAACAATCACGAGGGTTTCATCAGTCCTAAAATGACAAAGCTTGGGAAAAAATACTGGCACTGATGGGCCTTCTAGGGAAGTCCAAATGTCAGTTTTTCATCCATTACAGTAAATCTTTTATACAATTTTATATGTTCTAACTTCTTACTACTGGTCACCACTGAAGAAACAAAATAAGATATTGGAATTTTTTTTTTTTTTATCAAATATTTTTTCTTTACTTTTACATTAGAGTTTAAGTAGAAGACTACACCCAACCATGAACTCCCAATAAACAGGACTGTGATCAAGATTGACATTGTGGAACAAGGATACAAGAACCCCATTATCAGCAAGCTTTATATTAGAATGACTGGATACTGGATTTTAAAAAGCATTAGTTTAAAGAATAAATAAAAGAGGTGAGAGAACACCACCAAGAAGCTTATTTAAGATGGCCGCAATCCCATTTACTCTTGGCCTCATTCAGCTAGTAGCTCATTGGTCCTGTCAGACTTTAGATACTTCTAATTAAGGTCTTTGCTGGTCTAAGCTATCTGCATCAGATAAGATAAGATTTTTATATATAGTTTTTCAACAGAATCTCACTTTAAAATATCTGAAATATTTATTTAAATGCTCCATTAGCCTGCTCTGTTGTATGCTTTAGCTTTGGCATCAAAATTAACAAAAGCAAACATTTAGAAGACCTATGTGACCTGGAGGGCAATTAAGGTTGTAAAATCTTTGAGAGATACAAAGAAACTATATGCAATTATTTGTCTTAGAGATTTTTAGTTTTTGTTTTTTAGCGTTTTTCCACAGAAAGATTTCCCTGTAATATGACTAATGTTGCTCTGAGTCACGTTAACTTTGACAAAAGTGCAGATGCAACAGTGGAAAGGAAAAACTCCCTCATGAGAAAGAAACCTCCAGCAGAACCAGGCTAAGAACAAGCGTTCATCTGCTTGGACTGGCTGGGTTTGAGAGGAACAGGAAGGAGGAACAAACACACAACGGCAGGTCCAGGTCGGGGGCCATCAGGTTTTCTCTAGAAGAAAAGATAAAAAGACAGAAATCACATTAAGAAACAATAATTACATATACAAACTATTCATTTGTAACTATTAATTTGATGAAATGAGGTCAATTTGTCTTCCAGTAGTCTAAGCAGCATAGGACAAGGAATAGGTCAGAAAACCAAGCCGACTAACTATAGGATTTATCAAAGAGGAAAGTCTTAATCCCAGTCTTAAAACTGGATAATGTGTCGGCCTCACGGACAGAATCTGGAAGTTGGTTCCACAAGAGAGGAGCCTGATAACTGAAAGATCTGCCTCCCATTCTGCTTTTGGAAACTCTAGGAACCGCATGTAAACCGGCAGTTTGAGAGTGAAGTGCTCTGTTTGGAAAATATGGAACAATAAGATCAGTAATATAAGATGGAGCTAGGTTGTTGGTAGATTTGTAGGCTAGAAGTAAGATTTTGAATTCTATTCTGGATTTGACAGGGAGCGAATGAAGAGAAGCTAAATCTGGAGAGATATGATCTCTCCTACTAACTCCAGTTAAGACTCTGGCAGCAACATTTTGGATCAACTGAAGACGTTTTAAGGAAGTATTTGTACATCCAGATAATAAACCATTGCAATAGTCCAGTGTAGACGTGACAAATTAATGGACCAGTTTTTCTGCATCATTTTTAGACAATGTGTTTCAATTTTTTTTTTCATTAAACCTTTATTTAAACAGGTTAATCCCATTCAGCCTCAAGGACTCATTTACAAGAGAGACCTGATTTTAACAAAGAGTGATGACGGCAATGGATAACAATGATAACAATGTACAACAACGACAACAATAGACCGTCATAAAATAGGCATACAAAGTTAAGTTTCTCTTTTTTTTTTTTAACAAATCAAAACAAAATAGCAACCAAAAGGACAATCAAGAGGAATAGCAGCAAAAAACAGTTAGATCACAAGGCAAATTAGAAAACTAAAAACAGGAACATGTCTGCATTGGCTTTTGCCAGGTACTTAACAGGGTTTTAAAGTCACTTAGAGAGGTCAAGTCAATTTTAGTGATATCACACAGGTGGAAGAAGGCAGTTCTAGTAACATTTTTAATGTGGGGGGTAAAAGACATGTCCTGATCGAAATAACACCAAGATTTTTAACATTAGAACTGGAGGACAGATTAATGCCATCTAAGGAGGGAGAAAGACTGAAAAATTAATTCCTAAGGTGCTCAGGTCCAAAAACCAAAACCTTAGTCTTGTCTGTGTTCAACAGGAGAAAATTAAGGGTCATCCAGGTTTTTATGTCTTTAAGACATGCTTGTAGTCTAAGTAGCTGATTGGATTCATTGGGTTTAATGGACAAATATAATTGTGTGTCATCAGCATAACAATGAAAATATATCCCATGCTGTTTAATAACTATGCCTAGCGGGAGTATATACAGTAGTCCCTTGTTTATTGCAGGGAGTACGTCTCCCCCCGCAATAAGTGGTGAAAACCACAAAGTAGAATTGCTATGTATTTATTTTAGATTTATTTTATTTAACAATTACGTTAAATGGACATAAATCTCTTGAGTTGAAACAACAAACCACAGCAGTT